GTTAGTATATGTGGTGGGCTTATATTCTGGGGATGGGCTTATATTTGGGAGGGGGGCTTATAGTCGGAGGTTTACGGTATATATTAAACACCGTTCTTAGCAAATCAGCGTTCAGAATTTACAATGCTATATTAGAAATCATATTCTAATATTTTAAGACAGTGACCATCTGAGCGATGTCATTTTGTACATTACATGTATGCTAATATTCAAACTTGAAATGTTTGTGATTTGTGATTGGTTCATATCGCACTCAAAAAACATCACTCAAACGGTAACTGTGTGTCTTTAGCAGTCAAAATTACAGTCAATGGCAAAATAATATTTTTGTACTCATGGAACGAAAATTTATGTACCGTATTATTAATAATCTTTTCAACTTATTTGAATCGAAAGTGCATCTCCGGTCACATTGCATTGCATGGTAATTCCTAAATGCTTGGCATAAAACACCATTGGCATAAAACATTTCAGTATGGTGTTGGCAATTAGCGCAGCTACAATATTGTGACAACGAGAAACTATGCGGAGAAAATTTTCCATAATGCACTCCAATGTACTATTTGATATAATTAGGAAACAAAATGACGTGGCAAAGGTGAAAGAATGTACCTTTTGTCCATGTGTTCATTTTCTTCATTTGCAATTGCGCATTTCCTTGAAATACGCTGAACTGATAGAAATTGCGATGCACCAGTTGGTAGTTTATCATCCTTACTTGCCACATGCAAAGGGTTTACCGAGTTAAAGTTTGTGTCGTCCACTGATTTATGCCACGTTACACATGCAAAGTAGTACTTGATAAATTCTCCACTAAAGTTCAACAAGTGGGAAAAATAAAACTCTATCATTCCAAAGGACATACCGTTGCAAGTTTCATCAATTTCACCGTCTAATCTAGGCCAATCTGCTAACACTCCCGTTGATCGCTTACTTCTATAAGCCAACTTTGACCCAAATTGTTGGTTGAATATCTCAATCGTGCCATATTTCCGAATAGTTCTGCTAAGCTGTTCACTTATGATATTCTTGCCTGGAAACATGGTATTATACACTTTAAGCAGAACAGCCAGATCATCGTTATCAAGACTTCTTTCTTTGTATCAAAGGTGTAGGTTTCCAGCTGAAATATTACTCCAATTAATGGATTTCAAAGGTGCCATAACGTCAGTATTAAAGAAACTTAGGAGTTTGGTTAGTGCAAAAGCCGAATAAATAGTTTTAGAGTCGTTTCTTGCTATGGTTACGACATCGTCAAAGTAAGGTTGTAAATGTTTGTCCAGCGTCATGTTGTCGAGAAACCGTCATGTTGTTAGCTTACGCATAAGTTGCAATTCAATGGACCTGTTATTTGTTTTATGATGTTGTTGTTGGAAAGAATAGGTTTGCACAGATACGTGCAAGCCAACACACAAGACTGCCAGCATTTAAAATCTTGTTCTGGTAAGACATCTTTTAGAGCATATAAGGAGTATATGAGCGTCCAATTTTTCCATTGTTCTGCTGTGTAGGAACCGTAATTTGATGAAATTACCTTCGGCAGTCTTCCGATGTCAACAGGTACCTCCAGTCTATCTATCCTACTTTCCAATGTCTCAAGGTCTTTTTTGTTCAGAATTCCGTCTCTTACCCAGTGCTTAAAAATATATTTCGCCGTTCCAAGAAACAGATTATGCATTGGGTGAATAGAACAGAATCTGACTACGTCAAAATATTCTAGTTTTAAAAGTTCACTGTAGTAGTTTATTCCGTACTTTCTTGACAGCTTAGCTTCTTCTTTTTTTGTCTTACATCGTGACATCTTTTTTGCTTGACGCCTGTGCTCTTCATTCTTATGTTTCTGCCAGTTTTCTTCTTCGAAACCAGAGTAATCTCGCTTTTCGCCAAAGCCACCCGGAAATTTCTTAAGACACCGCGAACACCCCAATTCAGCACTGTGGCCTTTGAATCCACATAGTTTTCTTGAGGCTGGTATGTCTGAAGAGGTGCACAACAAAGCTGCTCTGAATATTAAGGATATTGTGCTAAGACTAGACTGCAAGCGAACTCCTTTCCACAGTGCTTTTAATTCTTCAACTAACGGCTTTAGGAATGGATTTAAATTCTTGGGTTCCTTCCCCATGACAGGAATGATGCCAACTACTAAAACGTTTTCCCATTTGAAGCGTTCTGCGCGCGGTAAATTTAGCAACACCAGGTAAAGTACTCCAACAGAATAATCCTTCCTATGTTTCATTGGCTGAAAGAAGTTGAAGTTGAGCATAAGTCCGTAATTTCTGGGAGCATTCAAAAAATCGACACCGTTATATTTCTGAAAATCTTTCCAAAGCTGACCATCAAACATATCTGTTAGCTGTTCCGATTCTGTGTGTCTCGTTCTCCATTCTTCACATTTAGCAGGAAATCCCGGCTTTTTAAGGAGTTTTTCTAAAGTGTTTACAACGCTTGAATAGCAGTAAGTATAAATTGGATAATATTTGATAACATTGTTTTTCAAAGTAACTTTTTTTACCAGTTTTCCGTTGCAGAAATGTATTTTCCCTCATGAGTAATGCTTGCTTGAACATCTCTTGACAATGTGTCGACCATCAACATCACGAAACGCATTCATTGTATTCATAGCATGCAGAGCATTTGGGACAAACAACATACTTGTTGAAATTGTCGCGATCTAAATCTAGTAACTGGCGAACCATATACATACAACGAGGTCGCAAAAATAGCTATCAGTTCAGTTAAAAGCTCACCAGTTACATGAATATTCAGCACTTTAAGGAATTGCAGAAGAAAACGCAACAACCATGCAAGCCCATTATCACTTAAGTGACATACACCTTGCCAAATTAAGATAAAATACAACAACCACTGGAGAATAGAGTTAACAACTTGCACTTTTCTCCGCTTTGGTATAGGATCTGGAAGAGCTTCATTGGATGAGATGTCTTGATCCAGTATCTCCTCAGATACATCTGGCCAAATTTCATCATCAGTTGACTCAGTACTATCATCGTCTGACAATTTGCTATCCAAACCATTATCATCATTTAAGGCTGCATCTTGATCAGTGTTCTGCACAATGGATATGAATCAAAAATACTTATTTATTTGCCAGGTACGTGGTTAAATCATGGTTAATTAATCCAGTACTGTACATGCATTGGAAATTCTTCAATGTTTGTAAGTTCCTATCATAGCATAGCAACTTAGGTCACGTTACAAATTGTGCGTATAAAATGCATCCCTTCAAAATATAGATTAGATTAATTTCAATATTGGAAATGCACAAGCCCTTTTTTAAAATCTTATGTTCGTAATATTAACAAAACAAGAATAACACGGTAAGAAGTACCAAATAATGAATTATAGTTCTTATAGTGGACATGATGACCATACCGTAGTATTTCGTGTATTACTGTACTTTGTATAAAATCGCCCAACCGCAGTTATAGTCACATTATTCAGCTCTGTTAAGTCTACCTAGTGACCGTCTTTCGCAGTTATATTATGTATTTATGAGCTTGAATAGACGAAAGATTTTACTCATCAATGATCAACGACAATGGGCATCGCCGACGTCAGCCCTGAATGAGAACTGGGCTTTAAGAAGCTTGATTTCGACCTAAATTTACGATCTTGCATTCCATGTGTACTTGCTTTTACGTGTGGGTTTTATGTACTATTTAAAAAACGAGCAGGAGTGTTTTATTAGGTCTAAAGCCACTCGCGCGCAGCGAGTTTTTTAAATGGCTTCAAAAACGTTTGCATAATAAGTCAAATCTGAATATGAAAAATCTTTATATAAAAATCTTTATATAAAAATCCTTATATAGTTTGCATAACAATGGCCTTTTGTTAAAGTGTTTTTTAGCTGGTATAAAGACGTATGCACGTGACTAATTTCTTACTCAAGATTGGATAATTGCTTCATGAATTATTAATGAGTTTTTGAAGCACATTTGTAATATGGTTGTTAATTACTGTAATAGTTAAACTTGCAGTTAAACTATACTCCATAATAACAAGTATATTTTTACTGTATTTGCCTAAAACCGAAAAAGAATATTAAAACTTACATGTAAAAATAAATGTATTAATTTTAGTCGCCCGTTTTTTCATATTTCAAATTGTTTTATCGGATGACTATGTTTAAAGTGCTTATGCAACGAATTTTTACCTCATTTTTTATTGTTTTTCTAAAAAGTACTGCCAGAGTGATGAAGAATGACGTTACAGTATGGTCATATCTCATTCTCAAGTTATCGCACTTTCTATATTTTGGGTTGTGACAAGTATATGAGTTGAGATAATGGCAATAACAAGAAAGTATGATATCTTGGTGAGTATTTAATAAAATTCAATGAAACTTGGTACACTTAGTGGATGCAACAAGGTCAACAATTTGGCTTGTTTATATGGTTGTTATGGCAACACACTCGTCCTCGTCCCCAGTCCCTTCTCTTACAATTTCTATATGATCCATTTCGAACGAAATAAATAGCAATTTCTGCTTTTCAACTTTATAATAAGTGTAGGTATTGTGATCAGTTTAAACAGTTATGATATGTAAACATTCTAGGGCCGGTTGTTCAAAGCTGGATTAGCGCTAACCCTGGGTTAAAATTTAATCTGCTGTTTTAGTTGGTGTGTTTCTTGCACGTCTGTTTATTTCAAACCTTCAGAGAAGTAAAGTCCTATCGATCCAGACAAGATCTCTGAAGAAATATTTCCAAACTTGTAGACAAGCTGTCGGGAAGTTTGCTTTGAATTTTAGGTTAACCTAGGGTTAAGCTAACCCAGCTTTGAACAACCGGCCCCAGTACAAGAGGTCTACAGGAGGAAATTAAAGTTGTGAAAAGGAAGAGAAGAGACTGGGGACTAGTGTGTTGCTATGATAACTACATGACCTGCCAAAAATATTCATATTGGTGCACACACTAAGTGTAGCAAGTTTCATTGAATTTTATTAAATACTCACCAAGATCGATATCATACTTTCTTGTTATTGCCATTATCTCAACTCATACTTGTGACGTCACAACTCAAAATATAGAGAGTGCGATAACTTGAGAATGAGATGAGATATGACGAAACTGTAAACGTAATTCTTCATAACTCCAGCAATACTTTTAGAAAAACAAAAAATAAGGTAAAAATTTCGTTGCATGGGCCACTTTAATTTAACAATGTAGCTATTTTACTTGAAGCATATTGAATGCTAAAAAACCTATGACTTGTAGAAGTTGACAATTGATTTCGGCCTTATTTCACTCTACACTCTATGTATTTTAATCATAATTGTAATAATTTATCAAAGAGACATTGTCAACTACAATGCTTTGGGCACTTTTTGTTTACGTTGGCGCCATTTTCTTGGTTGACAAATTCAAGATGGCTTTAAAGCCGGTTTTCCAGTAGCGAATTTTGTCGCGCGAATGGCCAATTTAGATTATTTAATTTTAATTAAAGTAATTTATATATGGAACAGTATAACTTCATTAACTTGTAACTGTAATCATATATGCATGTGAATGATTAAATTCAGTGTACTTACGTCATCAGGGCTTGAATGTCCGGATGTATTTGGGTCAGTTATGTTCTGCTGAAAACCAATATCGTGGGACATTTCTACAGTTTCTTAGAGAGAATCTGCATGTTCATATATATATATATATATATATATATATATATAGGTCAGGTCAGCGATGTTTTGATTATGCAGCAATGCAACAATACTGATCTCAAAGGCAGTTCACAATACTGGAATGTTAATGAGGCCGAGCGACAGTTTTGATACCAAGGGGAAATATTTTTCCAGTACGGACCGACCTAAACGGTAAATAACAAACAGGGTGCATAAAAAAAACTGAACAGATTTGAAATTGCTCTCAATTTCGCGAAACAGCTGGTGGTATCAAGTTTTTGTTATATATATAGATTCCTTGAGTAGCCATAATGTAGAATAATGAAGAAAAAAATAGTCGAACTCAAATTGTTTAAAGCAGGGGGTGTTTGTTTTCTAACGAAATAAATGACTTGGGCACGAAATTTAAAAGCTTTAATCGTATTTTCAGTTAATAGATGGAAAATTTGTTGGGTTTTTAATTACTTTTTAGTACAAAAATTCAGACAATTTGCTTTAGTTTAAGCCCCTTTAACTATTCATGTTTTCCTAAAAAATCAGCCCTAATTTGCATATTGCTGACTCATATGCAAATTAGGCAAAGTTATAATTAAGCATGCAAAAGGCTGATTTTTTAGGAAAAAATGTAAGTTTGCGTGAATAGTTAATTAAAGGGCTTAAACTGAAGAAAATTGGCTGAAATTTTTTGTACAGTAATTAAAAACTCCATCCATTAACTCAAAATACGATTAAAGTAATAAAGCTTTGAAAATTTGTGCACAAGCAATTTTTAGTTTGTTGGAAAAGACACCCCCTGGTTTACAAAATTTGAGTTCGAGAAATTGTTTTCATTATTCTACATTATAAGTACCCAAAGAAGCTATATATATAAAAAAACTGGCTACTAATAGCTGTTTTGCGAAATTGAGAGCAATTTCGAATTTGTTCAGTTTTTTATACACCCTGTATCAGGGCCGTAGGAAGATCGATAATCGGGGGGCTCATATTCATATATTCATGTTTACAGACCGTAAAAACAATCGATTTCAAAAGAAGTGAATAATGCAGAACATGAGTATATGAATATGAGGCCCCCAATTATCGATTTTCCTACGGCCCTGCTGTATATACATTTAAATACTCATTACAAATTCATAAACCTTGTGGCAAATCATGTCAGCCATAATATGTCACATGGAGTGACTTTATATCTGATAAAACTCATCTTCATTAGTATTCTTTATATAATCGTTCATCCTAATTAGTATTCTTTTGTAGTCGTATTTTAAGCTATTCAAAACACTCGAACTTGCGTTTTATCATATCTACAACCTACGGAATGTTGTTCCCGAAACGCTTTGTTCACAGTGATCACAAAACACGTAACTGTTTGCCTTATCCATACCATATTATAACTACCCCGCACTTTGACGCTATTTATAAACTTGTATCTCAATCACTTCCGCACTTTATAGTCAATAATGAAACTAGAGCAAATTTGCGCTCTAACAAGTGTTTCTTACTTCTTGTATTGTCCGACAGTGTCTCGCAGTGCTTAATTCAGGTGGAATGAAGGCATATCATAGTATCACGATAGTAATAAACGTATCAGATGTCATCATGTTTATTGGTTACCATAACTGCTGCAATAACATTATCTTTAATCCTATTAAATTGTCGTCGTAAAGAGGACTAAAGTAGGTGTCAGGTTTTGTCTTCATTTAAAATCAAACTAAAGGTGATTAAATGCTATCTCTGCCTTTAATCAACATTTAAACAACGCGTTAAAGGTCATTAAAGTATGCACGCTTTAATGTTGGTTTTAACCCACTTTAATATCCTCACTAAATGCAATTAAGTGTAGCAGTTTCCAAAAGAAGTGTTTTATTCAGACTAAGTGCGATTAAATGTAACTTTTTCTTTAATCACCTTTAGTCGGCTTATTAAAGTTATAAATACACATTTAATATCTTCAGTATTTTTGCTAAAGCTAATTAACGGCACGCTTTTCGTCCTGTGGAAGCCATGAATGCTGACCGTCAATAGGCTGTTTAAGGCTGCCAAACAGGTAGAACAAGGTTGCCTGCAAATGAGGCTATATTATGCTATCAAAGTTCTTTCTAAAATTATTTCGGGGGCACCCCCTACACCTGGTGTCTGTCCCTGAACAAAATGGCTACTTATTGGCGCTGTTACTCTCTCTTTCTTTTTATTCTTTTTCTTTCCTTTTTTCTGTCTTTCCTTTTTCTTCTTTCCCTTATTTCATTCTTTCCCTCTTTTTTCCTTCCCTTTTTTCTTTCTGCCAGCATAAAAAATTTCTTGGTCCCATGGTCCGCTATATTTTCCACCCCTGCAAATATGCCATGCTTCAAAACAATTAAATTCAGGAGAAATGTGTAAATTATGGAAAGCAGTAGCTGCGTTATGTTATCAATATTCTTCATATGATGTGCTTTTATCATTATATTGGGTGCTTTTATCATTATATTGGGTGCTTTTGTCATTACATGCAGTGCTCTTGTCATTTATATTGGGTACTGTTATCATTATAAGGCATTTATTCATGCAAAATGTATAAAATCCTAAGAACTCAATGCATTACACTGGTAAGTACAATTTGTATGTACCTTCAAAAATAAAAAATAACTAAGGGAAATATATCCATTTCTATTTGCATTTTTAAAATATAATTTAAGGTTTAGATATTAAGTGTACTCCATACACTTCATAATCTGTCAAAAGACAAATCTGCAAGAATGCATATGTGGAAAGGTGAAAAAAAATTTGTTGGTGACCATTGCCTTAAGGTTAGTGCATATATAGCTAATACTAGACAAACTTGGGACCAAGCACACTATGGTATGTTTGTTGCATGAATATATTATACCCTCAGGGGTGAAGGAAATAAAAAAGAGCAAGATCTGTTTATCTAATATTACCCTTCCTATTTTTAAGCAAAAATACAATCTTTCTGCACTATCATCATAGGAGCAACTGGTTCTATAAACACTAGTTAGATTATGCCAAAATTTATCAATTACTGTTCTGGCAAATGTGTTTGGGATTTCTGTTGCATCTGCAAGATGCAACATCAACTTTTTGGAGAAAGAACTTAACTTTTTTGGTCCATTACCCAACATTCTCAGAGTTGAGTGGGCTCAATTATCCTAAAGCTTACAGGAAAATTTCTAACCTAAGAGACATAATTGATTGCACAGAATTTTACATCGAAACACCATATCGATTGCCAAGTCAGAGGAGCACATACAGCAACTATAAATATTGCACAATCCTATTGCACACAACAATTTTGTGTCCAACCTATTCACAGGTAGTATCAGTAACAAGGAGATTGATCGTAAGGAAAAGTGGATTTTTGGATAAATTGGAGCCTGGGATGTAATTATGGTAGACAAGGGATTCAATGTGCAAGATCTGTTTGGTCTTCAACAGACAAAATAATTGCTCCACCAATAATGAGAAGGGGTGTGGCCTCATCGGCATGAAAAGATATGTAAAATTGTTTGGTATCAGACAGAGTAAATGAACAAGACAGAGCACATTAGGACAAATTGCAGGTCAATGGGTCCAGCCACAGCCCTCCTCCTGTATTATGCAGGCTTATAGACAGCTTTACATGTACTGTACTGTAATGACTCATTCATGACAGAAAACTGGCTATTGCACACTGACCCTTTCTCTAAACTAACTGTTGTATATTCAAAATGGTAGACCTCCAGGGGGGAATGCCTCTCATAATGCACTGGTTAGGATCATGGCATCAGCACTTTGATTATGATTCATGGCTGTGTGCCTTTATTCTGTGCTAATAGTATTGACACGATTCACAATGATTTGTCATCAAAATGCACTCACTATGTTCCTAGATGACTATGTCCCCAGGAAATGTTGAAATGTTGGTCATATTTTAGTTAAAAATCCTTGTTTTTGGTAAGCAGCAATGTGCCCTACTTTATTCGTTTACACTGCCTAACACTGGACGATTTTAAGGAGAGAGTCTTGCACTGTAATGGGTTAATGTCAGAAAATACCACACACCGATATCCATTTTTGTGAAGATGATGATTATGATCTTTATTGGGATATACTTTTTTACTGAAAGTGATTTTCAAAAAGAATCTCAAAATTACTAGATATTACAAAGATTTTTTAACTATAAATAACAATTAATGTGTATCTATATTTACATTTAATTAAAACAATCTAAACTAATTTTCACACATTACATTTAAAAGTAGCAACATTTGCTGATTGCTGGATGTGAAATCAATCACCTGTCAAAAACCTGTAGTTAAAAAAACTGTTCCAGAAACTGCATAAAATCCCAGAGATTGGGATTTGAAACATGAAAATTGTGCATGCCAGAGCTACTACAAGGTGGAATGCAAAAAAACATTGCAAGTTATCCCTTGTATCTAAAGGATTGTTGATTTCAAAGAAAAAACGTTATGTAGCTGCTGCCAGTACAGATAACATTCGTTCCTGTAGCTGTGCAAAAAACTGTCCAGATGTTGTTGTGGAGTGCAAGTGTCCTTGGAGGCATCGAACAATTCCAGTGAAAAAAGCATTTCTAACACCTGAAATTGGTGGGGAAGAAGTCGGAGATAAGTCCTCTCTGAAGACATCTAGCCGCTATTATTTGCAAATTCAATTTCAAATGTTTGTTGCTGAATTAGAAAGCTGTGACATTGTAGTATGGACAAAAAAGGCATTCTTTCCATTAATGTGCCATACTTAGATTAGATTAGATTTATTAAAATACTTGAATGGCAGTTCAAAAACGAACTGAAAAACACAAGTTTACATAGTTTAAAAATAGTAGAACAAAATACATATATACAGATTATAGATACGCTGGTAATACTAATTACAATAACGTAGGATTGCTAATTTACAAATGATATATTAATCTATAGAAGCCTAAAAGGTTAAAAAGAGTTCCATTTGCGTACGCAATATGGCAAATGACTATCATTATAGCGTTTAGTTCGGGTTTTAAAAAGTGAGATAGATCGGGAATGTCTAAGATTGTACTGATGATCTAAAGGTTCAGGTAATAGATTAAAAATTTTGCTCGAAGTGTCATTATAATTGTTTTTGTAAAAAGATCTACATAACAATTCCCTTCTCTCCTCGAGAGTGGGCAACTTTAGGTCTTTGAGGCTTTCGGAGTAGGACAAGTGGGGAAAAATAATTTTGAACACACGTCTCTGAATGTGCTCTAATTCATCAGTCAGGAACTTTGGTAACGAGGTATGCCAGACTGGATACGCATATTCCAAGACAGATCTGATAAAACTACAATATACTGTCCTAAGATCACTCAGTTGGACACCATTTCTTCTTAATATCCTTAAAGCGTACAGACGTTTGCTTGCTTTGGAGGATATGTGCCTGATGTGTGTAGTCCACTTTTACCCCCAGGAGCTTGATGGTATTAACAACCTCCAGGGGTTGGTTATTGACAATCAAGGGTTGCGCCAAGGGTTGATTGATCAAAAATGACACGGTGAAATCTTTAGTTTTTTTAATGTTCAACTTCATGTTGTTCGCACTTGACCACTGGGTCACGTTGTCAAGTTCTTGCTGTAATTTTGGTAGATCCGGTTCACATACTCTATGCCAACATACAATGCCAAATCATGAAAAGTGCTCTTCAAGAGCTTGAACAGTTCTGGATGAACCATGTCTTACATTTATGATTCAAACAATGCAAACTGATCACCCAAAAGCAGGTGGAATTTACATTTCATATTCATTTTGTCTACACAATCAGGGTTTGGAATTTGTAGTATCCCCATATCAAAAAATTAGTTTACAGTAGATACCAAACTGTTAAAAACTTGTTATTTGCTGTGTTGGTGTAATGTACTCAGGTGAATAAGACGCTTGTGTGATGTTACTCTCTAAGTGTATATCCACACCAGGCAGGCTTGAAAAATATATGCCTGGCTGCGGTGGGATTCGAACCTACGACCTTTGGAATACTAGCCCAATGCTTTGCCAACTGAGCTACACGGTCAGGTCGGTTCGAGTATGCGATATTCTGGAACTGAGTCTAGTTGCTTCGATATCAGTGTAATCTAATAATCATGTTATTTGATGTGTTAGTGTAATGTAATATCCAAAGGTTGTAGGTTGGAATCCTACCATGGCCAGGCATATTTTTCAAGCCTGCCTGGTGTGGATACACACTCAGAGTAACATCACACAAGCATGTTAAAAACTTGTCCCTATTTAATCACTTCTGATCAGTCGAATCCAGTGCATTCCTTTAAATATTTAATTTTAAGAATCTATAGATGTTGAGATATGCAATTATGAATATACCCTTCAACCCAATTACAATGATGATGCCTATCAACCTAATCATAGTTATTTCCCTCTACCCAATGATGTCCATCAACCTTATCATAGTGATTCCCTCTACCCAATAACAGTGATGCTTCTCTACATAATCACAATGATTACCCTGTACCCAATGACAATGATGCTCCTCAGCCCAATGACAATGATGCCCCTCAACACAATATTGATAGCATGACCCCTCAACCTAATATTATTAATGTCAGTGAAAATGCATACAGAAACAATTTCTGGGAACTAGGTTCCCAGGTTGTGATACTTTTTCCACCTCTGTTGTGATCCATCATGAAGGTGACTAGAGTGGGGTCACCTACGGCTTCTTTTCGCTTCATGCATCTCTTGAACTTTACTTCTTCCATCTGGAAAAGATCTTTGAAGAACTCTATCCAACCTTGGTCTGGCTTCTTCAGGAACATGGTCATCCCAATCAAGTTTCATCTCACTTCCCCAAAGTTTCTGCATCATGATCTTTGCTCGATCTGTGAATGGTCCAGCCAATTGCAAGGGATCATAAATACTGTTCACTTGTGAGAGAATCATTCGCTTAGTGAGGTTACTCATTATTTCTTTCGGGATCTGTTCTTTTCGAAGGCTTGGTTCAGTTGCAACTTTTCTTTTCGTCTGGGAAAAGTTAAGTTTAACTTCAAAGTGTTCAAAAGCAGTCCTCCCTTGAGACCCAGGAGACTCTGAGAACCTTTTCTTTGTCTGCGATTTGCTCAAAATGGATGTCTTCATAGTTGTCAGACTCAGGCTTTTCATCTTGAATCCACCAGCTTTAACCACAGCTTTGATCTCTTTGGTCGTTTGCCAGGCATTCTCTTTGCTGCTCACACTATCTAGAATATCTTCCATGTTGCTGTTGTTCTTCACGATTGCTGGTGTCCATGTCGCGCCACAGAAAGTGATGTGTGTGTTGCTCTACAATTCCAATGTTCACCAAGTGATACATCTTCTTTATGTCTCCCATCATCGCAACTTCGTTTCCCTGAAGCGTACAAGGACTCCCAATAGATTAAATCGGGACCTTTAGCCCAGTAGTCATTCAATGTGTGTCCCATATAGTTAGCGCTGCTATTGAATATGATTCGAACGATTTAGACTCAGGTTTCAAGACTTCATGATGGGAGATATAGTGAACTGGTCCATTGTACTCATCCAACTCTTTGCTTGTTACCTTCCTTGCAACAATCCTGTGGATCATATCTTCTACTTGTGTTTGGTATACCTTTGCATGCTTGGGATTTTTGGCAAGTCTCTTTTCCGTTGAGATTAGAATTCCCGTTGCAGCCTTTCTGTTGTCAGGTAATTCTCACAGATTTCTATCTATTGGTATTCTGCGTCCATTTCTTCTCTTCGTCGTCGAACGTCAGTTTGTTTTCGATCAGCTTCAGTTCTCTCTCTTCTTTGAGGGTGTAATCATTGCTTCCAATTGGACACTTTCCACATTTACAACCTCCACAATGTGGTCAGCAAGCTACCCCAGATCTTCAATGTTGTAGAAGTCTTCAACATGATTGACTCGGGCACTGGTCAACTCACTGGTTGGGTGAGCTTTGCCAATTTCTCACGACATGCAACAAATCTCTTCAGACACTTCTCTGTGACCTTTAGAAGTGATCCGATGAATACGACATTTATTCAATTTTGAGTGACCAGCTTGTTTCAGCTGTCACATTGCTTTTATCCATGCATGGCAGCTATGTTGTCCATGGAAACACTCACAATTTCAAGATGGTGTAAACGAAACATTGATTGATATTATCTAACAAGTCTATTTTCTACCTATTGTGCACACTAGTGATCGAGGGCTTTGTATTTCCTGAACAAGGAGACTAATATGCATTGTGTTATGGCGGTTTTTAGTGCAGAGTTTCTTTGAAACTGTGCACTATTGTGATGAGTGGGAAAGTCAGTCAGCCAGTCAGTCAGTCAGTCAGTCATAGTGTTAACTTTCCAGGGGGTGTATTATGTGTATACGATTTATGTTTGTAGTGATTTATTGTGTTTTGAAGGTTATTTAGGCAATTTCAGTTATTTTATTTAAATATTCTTTTGTCCTTTGGCCAAGTTCACAAAAATTTCGAGGAATCGTTGTCGTTATTGTATTTTTTTGTAAATTTTATAACATTCGCTTCTCATGTTGTGTGAAGGATTTTTCCCCCAGAAAACGTATTTTTTTCTTTAGCACCGCAAATGTGCATGCGCTATCAAGCTGTAGATCACGATGGTGTGACGATGCTAGGAAGGAGCGACACAGTGTTGTTTTCAAATTATAAACATTTTAGACGTGAATATTGAATAAATCTTTGAGATTCTACGCAATATATGAATAGATGTTATGCATTACAGGCATTCAATTAAGTACCGATATTATTTTGACGGTATATTCAATATACAAAGCTAGGAAGCAGCGAGACAAGTGTTGTTTCGAAATGTATAAACATTTCAGACATGTTCTATATTGAGAAAATCTTTGAGATTCTACGAAATATATAAATTGATGTTATGCATTACGGGCATTCAATTAAGTGCCCATATTGGTTTGACGGTATATTCATTGTACAGAGCTAGGAAGCAGCGAGACAGTGTTGTTTTCAAATGTATAAACATTTCAGACATAAATAATGAGAAAACAGTCTTGGTTTACATGTCTAGCACAACGCCAACGGTACAAACTCATGTTCAGTGCAACGAGAACTCTACCAAATCTTGCGAGAATCTATCTGTATTAAAGCTAGTCAAAACTGCTATAAACAGTGTTATAACTGTGAAACTATTGAAATCTAAAGTAACATTATTGAATACATGCGAAAAGCTGAAAAATATGAGTCATGAACACAACCTGACCTTCGAAATAACTCAAAGGTCAATGAGATTTGTTATTGTGAACACGTCACAATTAGGTTAAAATGCGGAGGCGGACGCGGAACAGAGCGGATCCACAGAACGGAGCGGATCCACGGAATGGAGCGGATCCATGGAACCGGATATGGAGATAAAATGCAGAATGGATTTGGATAAAATGCGTCATTTTAATAAGTTTTACGCCTCTTTTTTTACGTTTCTGTGCTTTAGATTTACGTTTTTTTGTAATGGAATTATCTTATACAGCTATTTCAATTAAAGTTGTCACTGAGACAATAGTCAAATGTACAATATGGGCGCTAAAACGATGATGGCAATAATCATAGATTTAAGTACTGTTTAATAAACGAGTAGGAGTGTTGTATCACATATAAAACACAACGCGTAGCGGGGTTTTATAGGGGTGCACCGGATTTGGAATTTTCAAATCCGGCCGGAACCGGATTTACCGGATTTGGACAAAAATTTCGGCTGGAATTCCGGCCGGATTTGCCGGATTTGAGATAAACCGGTAATTGGGGACAATTGGGGATAAATCAGCATTCAAAATGGCGGTTTATGTTTTTTACTATTTTTAGTTAGTGTCAGTTTAGATTTTTGATTGTGTTTAAACCTTTTTCAAATATATTTTTGTTAATAATTTATAATAATATAAGTGTTTTTTAAACTTTAAAGCTGCCAAATTGATGGTTTAGCCCAATCTTGGTGAATTTTTTAAGGTGAAAACAGAAATTTAGATCCAGCCGGATTTTCTGCAAATCCGGCTGGATGCCAGATACCGGAAAATTCGTAAAATCCGGCCGGAATTCCGGCCGGATTTGAAATCCGGTGCACCCCTAGTGTTTTATATGTGATAAAACACGAACTACGAGTTTATTAAACAGCTTCAAAAATGTCTCAGTTAGATCACGGCATTGGCGAAATAATTTTCCAAAATAACTTTGTATTAGCTGAGAAAATACAAGTTGAAATTTGAAGCGTGTTTTATCACATATAAAGACACGCCACGCTTATGATTTCTCTTTGTGTTTTCCTCATGAATTATTAATGAGTTTTTGAAATAAGTTTAGCATATCAGTAGCCTTGTGGGGATACTTATAGCAACAGCTCCAATAAATTGTGTCAATTCCACGAGGCACGTCGTCTCTGATGTGTTAGGCTTGTTTCAAACGTCGGGCTACTCAGTGTGCCAAACGCATTAAAAACAATAGATAATGAGTTGAAATGCCTATGGTAACTGATTATTTCGTAGTGTAAGCCATCGGCTTTTCTAGGTTGTCGGCAACCCTATATAGTTCTTGCAGTGTCTTTCGATTTCAAACTTATAACATTATAACAGAAATTATGCCTTGTCACTATAATATTATATGGGGAAATAAATATTACATAACTCTCGTCATTCTTTAAACGTAAAGTATTCAACGAACTATTTATCAGGCAAACACTTAAAATTGGCTCGTCCTGTTGCCTACTGTATATGTAATTCTTCTTTCTTTGTTTTTGTATTTTTAATGTTTATCTATACAGTACATTCTCTTTCCAAATCACGCCCCTCATGGAAATCAGGTCCAAGTTGTTGAGGCCAGCGTGCTTAAATAGATTGTATGTATGTATTATTTTAAACCAGATCTTAGCATTTTTACTGTGGTAACAGTTCCGCACGCTACTACGACATGTGATTAAGGCTATAAACCACGCTTGAAAAGCTATTCAATAGGCATGTTGAAGCATGCCTTATGGCGTTTGTCTTTGAAACTCTGCACTATCCTTGGATCCCTAGTTTTTAGCCTCGTAACATGTGCAATGAACTTGAAAGATAGAGCAAACATGTGATGGCCTAATTGTCATTCCGGTAATATTACATATTCCGACTTTGGAGAGGAGAACATTAAAATATCTCGGCAAGTATTTACCCCCCTTTAAAATGAAAACCACTGATGAAATCCTCATAAAATAACCTTTCGAACGGGGGGTCAAATGCTGTCATAACATTAACACAAACCAAAACAATCGTATATATTTACTCACCGCTTGGCCAATGAAAAACTTGAGTATCTTCTAAACTCTTCAGCATTTGCCCAAGTCAATAGCAGTGACATACTCCTTGTATTCAAGTGCTTTTATGTGGAAAGTTTCATCATAGAATAAAGATCCATATAGAAGGGCCACTTACGTCAGAAGCTTTGAAGTTTCCGTCCTCGCACATGTCGCATTACGCATGTTGGCCGTCATTTTCCTAGCCAGTCAATAACATTTTCTGGCCAATAAACACGCTGTACTGGCTGGCTGCTCCACCTGGCCAGTGAACTGCATATTTTTGCATAAAAAAACGTGGACACGTTGCACCGCTGAGTGGCCCTTCTGTTACTGATCTTTATTCTGTGGTTTCGTTTGAATACAAGTAGAAATATTTATTTTTTATTTTTCAAAAAGATCAGGTTTTTACTTGCAAGCGCATCCTACACGCTAAAATTGGCCAATAAGGAGCACCTGTAGCCCCATGTGAATCGATTTCAGACATTTCCCCAGTGATGGGATGTAAACATTGCATTGTTTCTGGTCAAAGCTCTCACATAGATGTAGATATTTTGAAATACCAAAAGGAAAGATGCAAATCTGCAGATACAAGCTTGAAAATAACACTCTAAATAGTGTGTTGGATTGTGTTTCGAACAAGACTAATACAAAAAAGATACGTTGAAAGTGGCCAAAGTTATATTCGGCGAAAAGTATGGCTTAGTGATACATTGTTTACATTGTTCAAGTATATTGTATATAAGTATGGTATGAGCATTGGGCTGGTATTCCAAAGGTCGTAGGTTCGAATCCCACCATGGCCAGGCATATTTTTCAAGCCTGTCCGGTGTGGATACGCACTCAGAGTAACATCACACAAGCATCTAATTCACCTGAGTACACCACAGCAATATCATGATTGTTTATTAAGTATGGCTAGTTTATAATTTATGGCTATTTTACATTGTTCA